TCCTATGGAATCAAAAGCAAACAACAAACAAATCTTTCCCTAAGAAAACTCTCACATTTCCCAAGACACTTCCTCATTTCATTATTCCTCTTTGTAGAAAATTTCTACAATTTAACTCAGAGATTTCTGCTCCAATTTCTTACAATTTTTCAATTATTTGGAATTTTGAGCCCCTTCTCCAATAAAAATGATTCTGTTAAGTGTTACCCAAACCAACTATGGTTTGTTCCTCTCTCTTCATTACACTGATGTTCTGAAACACAATTCAGGTCAGTTAAATTCTGTCTCTTTCACTACAGATTCTCCGTTAATATCCATTACATCATTGAAACATCTTTTGCTTCCAACTTTTTTCAGCTTTTATAAATGTTTTCCACAATTTAACCTCAATTTCAATGTCTATTCTTAACCTTTGTATTAATTTTATTTTCATTCTTATTATTGTATATCCAACTCTTCATAACTGATAATTTAATTTTATCTTTAATACCATCTGATATTTAATAACATCAAGATAGAGTTCATGATTCTTCATTACACCAAATTTTTTCTCTTTCCATGACAAAATAAGAGTCACCTCATAGCCTTCCTTCTCAGACTTCTATTCCATTTATTTATTTATTTACTTATTTATTTGTATATTTATTTATTTTTGGAAGCCAGTTTTTTTATTACATTGCATTTAGAACAAATGTTCTCAAGTATTCTACCCTACCTCCCTGCCATCATCTGCTACTGACTTCCTGTTTACTACACCCCAAGCATAGTGTTTCTCTAGCAGCTCATACGGAACAAGTTGTACTCTCTTAAAGTCCCTAGACTTTGTACTATAAATAACTCATTGTGAAAATAATACTGAATATGGCTGATTTTTCCTTATTCAAGTGTCCAAGTGCCATTTGCATAGATCCTCTAAACACTCAATATAATATTAATGTATTAATGTTAATGTAATATTAATGTAATGTTCATGTAATAATACTATTCTAAGTAATGGTTTAAAGTTATTTAATTCATTGGTTCATAATTATTCTAGAAGTTCTCATCAGTATCAAAAAGAATTTAGTTCAGTACTTACCTGCCTATTGTCTTTGTTTCACTGTCTGTCTTACCCCAATTAAGACGCAGGAAGGGACAAAGAATATGTGGTATCTGTACATAATGGAATAGTACTCGACTATAAAGAAAGATAAATTTGAGACATTTGGAGCAAAGTGGACACACCTGGAAAATATAATGTTGAATAAAATAAATCTAACACATAAGTTTAAATACTGTATGGAATCTCCCATTTCAGCCAGGCAAAACACAAAGAGCAAAATAAAAGATGGATTGAAGGAAACAAAGTGGTAGATCTCTTGCAAATGGGAAGGGTTCCAGGAGAATGAAGAAAAACGGAGAGGAAGAGGGAAAAGGGAAGTGAGAAGATTTAGATATCCCATGTATAGGTACCAAATAGCCACAATTAATGTAAATATTACATGTCATAAATATGAGCTATGAACAACAATAACAGAAGGAATAAAGATGGGGAAAGTAGATTTGGAGATGGAAGGAGGGAGGTAGATGGGAAGGAGAAGGGCATTAAGAAAAGCGACAAGCTCTTTTATGTGCATTGTACCTACTCCCCAAGAAAAAAGTCAATTTTGTATACTGTAAACATGTACTAATAAAATTAAAATTAAAATATCAGAGAAAAAAAGAAAATATAAACTTTATGAGAATAGAGGCCTTAATGACTTTCAGTTCTACACCCTATGTATATAAAATGAATATTTAGTATGGAGTGGAAGGATGAAGAATAAGTTAAAAACAATTAATTAATAATGTATAATAGCTTTTCATATGATATTTTATTAAAATAAATATTTCTTGTTTGTGTCTAAGGTCTAAGAAGAGCAGAGATTCTGCAGTGTTGAAGCCTATACAAAATTTTGGAATTTTATCTATCTATATATAATGTTTTATTTTAAGATGGCCCGTGTGCATTAAAGTTTAATAATTATTTCTTGCAATTTCAGATCTATTTCTAACTATATGTTCCTGGTTTAATTTGATGCCTTCTTTCAACTACCTTCAAAATCTTTGAGGAATTAGAAACACAAACATATTGAATGAATTAAATTAAAAGAGAAAATGCATGAATTAGTGCTTTGTATTAGGAAGAATAACATGAAGTGTATGATATATTTTGCCTACCTTTAAACTCAAATCCAATAGTAGATCATGCAGATGAAAATAAAGCTTTGGTCTATTCAAGAAAATGTAAGATTTCATAAGAAAGAGCCAGATTTATGAGGGAAAAAAATCTTGTTAAGTTATTAGTGTTATCACAATTTTTATAGGAATCAATGAATTTAAATACTTTGGAGTATGTTGAAGTGTGAAAATACCATGAATGTGGAGCACAATATATTCTTGAACTGAGGACCATAGTCCATCCACTAAGCAAGTGAAACTCTGATTCTCAAATTAATTCTCTAGGTGTCTAGGTTTTCAACCTTGAGTGAAATTAGTTTTTCCAAATATAAAAGGAACATATGAAATAGTGTGCTATCAAAATGAGGGAAGTAGGGGTTTGACACCTAGGATTCTATTTGAAATACAGTTCAGTATAAATTTTTTTTACACAAGAGCATGAAAGATTCTGTCCAACATAATCTTTATTCACTAGTTAATCCTGGTTCTGTGACTCTTCCTCCACAAACTTCTTCCTATTCTTTTACTGGATTTCCCATCAAAAGAAAATGGGATTTTAAACACATACTACTGCTATTACAAATACCAATAGAGTCGGGTTTATTTTGTGTAAAGATCTCAGGGTGACTACATTCTCAAGTCAGCATATACTATATATTTAGTGTGTTGCAGGTACTCAAATGTGGGTGTCCATAGAATGTTGGTAACAAGAAATTCTTGAGGTTTTTTTTTCTTAATGCTAATTCATTTGGAAATGAGTCAATCCTTTCATAAGTTTTCCCATACACCATTCAGGTTAAGAAATTCAAGCTCAAAAAATTACTTCTATTCTTCCACTGAAACTTTCAACATGCATATTATGGCAATGATTATGATACCCTGTGGCTACAGTGACATGAATTGTGGCTATGACTGTATTAACCAGATATGACTGGTACAACCCATGTTGCTTGGGAAAATTCTGACTCCTGGTTTTTACTGAGATGTTCTAGCTTACTTACTGAAACTTAGCACATTTCTAATATACAAGTATTCTTTATGTGTTATTTGCTTGTAGCACTAATATCAAACCCTAGACCAAGTGTAGTAAAAGACCATTGGATAGACTGATTTTCTGAAACAGCTAAAGATTTTATGTTCAAAACATTCATCCACTTTATAGATTTGCATGAATCAAATATTAGAAAATTTTGATTTATTTTTCATTAATTGTAACATCATTTGAAAGCACATGGCATATTTTTACACATATTTATTTATCTTTATTTCTCAGTGTGGAAATGTGTGCAGGAAACTCTCGATTTTATATCACTAAGGTCTGTTCCCAGGGCCATGAATTCATGGACACTTGCCAAGAGAAGCTCTTCATTCTAAGAAACTCAAAGCTTGCAATACAAAGTCATCAGTATAGCCAAGATGATGAATCAAGGGTACATAAATAGGCACCAACAAATATCTCATGGAGATGCATTATTCTATCAAAATACATACTTTATAAAGAAAATAGCATTTATCTTGATTTTAGAACAAAAATATAATAATGTCATTCACTGTTTCCAAAGTTTTTCAGGAAAGATAGGTAGACAATAGTTTTTAAATATCTATACATGTGTGAGAAATTAATAAATAATATCATATATATGGAA